ATTGGATTTTGCTGTGTTGTCTCTGGGCTTGAGCCTCACATACCATTTTATAAAATTGTTAAGTAAAATACACGTTATATGTTACAACATATAAAATTGTTATGTCTTTTAGTAGTATATACTGTAGATGTGCAATAAACCTCCATAGACGGTATCACACAGTTTGAAAACACACTTGTTTGATCCAGTCAGAGAAGCTCTGCCTTAAATGTTGGGTGATTTGAAGGTTTTGCCAATATATTATCTTCCAAAATGTGTTGTTCTGTTTTTCCTGTAATATTAATGCAGGTAATCCTTGACTTACAACAGAATGCATAGTGACTGTTCAAAGTTACAAAGGCACTGAAAAAGTGACTTATGACTATCTTTCAAACTTATAACCGTTGCAACATCCCCATGATCATGTGATCAAAAGTCAGACATCTGTCAACTGATTCATATCTATGATGGTTGCAGTGTCCCTGGGTCATGTGATCACTTGTTGAGACTTTCCGATGAGCAAAGTCAACGGGAAAGCCAGATTCACTTAACTGTGCTACTAATTTAACAACTGCAGTGATTCACTTTATAAAAGTGTGGCAAAGAAAGATCATAAAATGGGTCAAAACTCATGTAACAAAGGTCTCACTTAGCAACAGAAATTTTGGGCTCAGTTGTGGTTGTTCAGTCGAGGGCTACCTGTACTTAATTTTTCACTTCATTGGAAGAGAGAAGAAAATACATTAATGGATTCAAACTCCCCCTGATTCCTCTAAATTAATAGCGTCTCAATGAATTGATAACCATTTCTGCTAGTATTTAGACATTCAAACAAGCTAGTGTGCCACTGAGCTACAGCCTTGGCTTAGAGAAAGCTTGCAGTCTTCATGCCAATGGTGATTTTAGCTAGAGAATCCAATCTCCGTGTCTGTGCATATTCCAGACACTACACTCTGAAGAATTTTTTAAGATATGTACATCTTCTATTTCTCCCCCACCCCCCGCCCCCAAGATTCAACAGCCCTGGTTGTGGGGTAGGGGAATGTTTTTAGCAGTATTGTTTTTAAAATATTGTCTTTTTTCTTATATATCACTTAAAGCAGTTTGGAATGGAAGGACAGAGAAATAAACAAACAGACAAACTATAAATACAATATTGTTGCTGCTATTTTCCAGTTCCTGCTATGGAAATTTTTCAATGTGTTATTTTCAGGACAAAACTAAGTTGGGCCTTTTCTTTTTCCTCTATGAGATTTCAGCTGTGGGTCTATTTATATAATGGTGGGCGGCTTCCAAGCCAAATATACTAGAATATGTGGCTTTCTCACTTTTGGGAATCAACATCTTGCTCTTTTGATGTTTGATTCCTAAACTGACTTTTCCTTCCCTGGAATAATCTCAGTTAAGCTGCCCATCAAACTTACCACTCCAGAAATATATTTGCCTCCCTTCGAACCCCATGCTTTCTCTTATCAATAGAGAGGTTCTTTGTTTTAAACTGGGCTAATACCAAATAGTTTCCCAGATTATAATAACTGTGGTGCAATTACTTTTCTTTTCCTTGCAGGCATACTTTATGCAAGATAGATAATCAGGTCATGGTTGCTATGTTTCTTCCAGACTAATTATTATTCTTCCAGACTGAATTATTTTCCAAAGTACTGGAAGGCAGGACAAGAAACAATGGATGAAAACTAATCAAGGAAAGAAGCAACTTAGAACTAAGGAGAAACTTCCTAACAACCAGTGCAACAGCTTGCCTTCAGACATTGTGGGTGCTTCATCACTGGAAGTTTTTAACAAGAGACTGGACAGCTATTTGTCTGAAATGGTATAGGATCTCCTGCTTGAGCAGGAGGCTGGACTGGAAGACCTCCAAGGTCCCTTCCAGCTCTATTCTATTCTAATTTTATTCTAGCTAGGCAAAACCCAGACTCAAATCTTCATTCAACCATTAAGCTTACTAAGTTGATTGGGCTGGTCCTCCTCAGTCACACTTATTGATTTATATTTTATCTTGGATTTTCTATTAATACATGGTGACCATGGGAAGGAAACAATAACAGCAAATGGTATCAGGAAGTGTTTGCACAACTGATGCAATTTGTATCATTTGCACAATGATACATGATGGTTATGGTACTGTTTTGAATCAAATATGTATATAGTGCTTATTCTGTTCTCTTTTTGCTGATATGAAATCAGCACTCATCAGTTGGGTAAAGGAAGACATCTATCTTAGGGAGACAGAGAAAGCAGGATAAAGTGGCTTTTGGGTTTTGGCCTTCAACATCTGGTGGTCTGTCTCCTTTGACTCTGGATGTGTTTAGAGGTTCGCCTGAACTCATGGCTCTTGTTTGATGAGCAGGTGGCTAAGCGCCCTTTGCACAGATTTGTCTTGTGCACCAATTACATGTTTTCCAGGGCTGGGAAGCCTCACAGTCATTCATGCCTTAGTCACCTCTTAGCTATATTATTGCAAAGTGGAGCTGCCCTTGGAGACCACACAAAAGTTACAACTGGTCCAGAACACAGTGGCTCACACAATATTGGTTCTGCATAAGTTCGTCCATATTATAATTTTGTTGTGTGAGCAAGCACTGATTTCTTTTTAATTTACAGGTTTTATGCTTGTTTAATTTGCTCAGAGTTGCTTAAGATGGGTTGCCATATAAATTGTTTAATTTGAATATCAATAAATATTCAATATCTTAATTTTTACAGGCATGTTTCAGATTTAAGAACATATTATTAAACCCTTGTATACACTGTTAGGAGGGGGAGTTAGCTTTACCATGTGATTTTGTTTTAGTGTCCATTAAACTCCAACATACAACTATCAGAATCACATGGTGCTGCTGTTTTCCCTGAACTCTACTAATATATAGCTAATATACAATGAAGGATTTAAACGTATTTTCATTAAAATAACTCTTGCATGTAGACTATCGTTGTGTTAAGAAACAGGGTTTTATAATAATCTCTTTCGTATGTGAGTGGTTCAGCATTCAGACATTCGGTCCTCCCTTCTCCAGGGACATAATGATGTAGTACAATCCAGAAAAACAAAAAAAAATTGTTTATCCTGCATACATAGATAAGTTTTAGGAATGGTAATGGAATAAGAAAATCTGTTTGTACCAGAGAAGTGATTGCAGGAATTTTATGTTCCTGATTCCTCCAGGATGTTAAAAAATCAATGTTTCTGTTCAGCACTTAAAATGAAAACTGAAAGCTAGTTACACAAAGCCTGTGCCAATCTTAAGTTTTCTCTCATCTGACCTATGTTATAAATTAACAGTGTATTGCTGGAAGTATTCATTTGCTTATATAGAAGACTCTGGCCATATAAGGAAACAAAGTGATTCAGAATTCATGGCAAGATCATAAATAAATACTCTCTGGAGAATTAAATGGAACAGGCCTGTGTGGAAATTACTGTGTTTCAATAACATTTAAACAAACATAAGGTAAAACAATGTAATGTAGAGGATGGAGAACTGCTCTCCTGTTGAATCCAGTCCAATCCAATCCAATCCAGCCAACAAACAAACTTCCATGTTCTGCTTCTTCAAAGGGGCACAATCCCAGATTATTGAGTTACAAGTTGCTTCCTTATGGAGACTTTCCATTCTATCACAAAGAAACCATTATGAACAGTTTTTTCCCCAGATTTATCAGTTCCCCCCAATGTTTAGTTTTAGAACAAAGTGTAGATTAGATTTAGGTTAAGTTCGCACACTGTTTTAAGTTTTGTCTTTTCATAGAACAAAAATAAACCATAATTGACTGACTTTGCATAACACTTTTAAGGCATAAACCAAACAAACCCCGATTCTGGCTTACTAATATGAGTGAATTGAATCCCAGAGACTTCACTTCTGCTGCACCAAATTACTGCTGACAGATCTCCCCTCCATGTATTCATCTTGCCTTTCTGTTTTTCCATTAGATCACAAAGTAAGGATTCCATCGGTTAAAGGTTGATTGTCTGTGTTAGAGAGATTTGTTTTTAAAGTTTTAAACAAATAGAAGTGAAGAGGTGTTTTTCTCAGGACTGAGGAATTTTGATCCAAAACAGTAGAGAATGACAAAATTGTATGGACTAGATATCTACTACACCTCAGTAGAAAAAAAAAATTAAATTTACTGCCATTTTTGTGGTTGAGTGAAGGGCAGATTTGTTTGGCTCCTCTACTTGCTCCCAGTTTTTTTGTTTGTTTCTTATTTAGACTTTTAGATATAGTTTGTTTCTGTTTCTTCTTTAGATCTTTCACTAGCTGATAGCACAGATCTATTGCAATCAAGTCCATGAACTTTCTTTCATTAAGATGAGTTTTCATTGTCTATAGCAGCTCAATATGGGTTTTTTGATTAAAAAGTGTTAGCATTCAAAAGTTAGGCAAGTTACCAAGTTCAGGGCTGAAACATAAAATCTGTTGCAAAAGGAATTTGCATGGATACACTGTGGTAGCTAAGATACAGATAGGACAAGAATCTTGTGTCAGGCAACTTACTTTCACAGCTACCTTTTAATCTTTTGTTGGTTCTGCTACTTTTGTATCTAACCTGCTGTAATAATTGCTGAGCAAGAAAAGGTTCCCATCTTGCAAAAGATTTATTAAGGGTGAAATGAAAGAAGCTTCTCTCTTGGACACAATAACTGAAAGTATCTCAGGAAGCTGTCAGTTTGACTTTCTAATTTATCTTCCCCCTTTCCGATCTATGCTTCACATTTTTTTTTGATTTTTCAAGAAATGTATCTTTTGTTTTTGGCAATGACCTTTGCAGAAATGGAGGTGAGCCAATAGGAGTACAACCTAAAAAGCTAACTGATAGATTTATGATTCAGAAAGGAGTAGTTCCCAGTTCCAGATAATGTTAGCAAACATTGTTCATAGCAAACAGAAGCAGGTAAATTGCCTTAAAGAAAAAAAGGCTAGAGGCTTTTACAGAAAGCATTAGTTTTATAAGAGAAATCTAGTCAAGTTGGTTGCTATTAATGTTGGTTTCTCTTCTAGGTTTCCATCTTCCAGTTTGACCACTGAAATGAATGTACAGTGATTACTTGTCCATAAAAGCATGGAACCTCTTAAAACTTCATTGGTATCTGAAGAACAAACTTCTACAGAGATTGATGATCGACATTATTCATTGCAAGGTAGGCTTTGTTTAAATGCCACAAAATATATTTATTGAATTTTTTATGTGGCAAATGTTTATGGTCATAGCCTCATTAGAAGTTTATTTCAGATCACAGAATAGACTTGAAATAAAGTAAAATGAATAAGATTAATCTAACTTGGTGTCTTGCTTCTGATCATAATCAGCTGGATTTTACCAGCAAAGAAATAATGTTGTCATCTGAATACTGATGTTGTGCTAAACTATATCACTGTTTGTTTGGTTTGAGATCAGAGCATAGATATTATTTTATTCAAAGCTAAGAGCCACTTGTAACTGAAGGCATGCCAAGAGCTTCATTACAAAAACAGTGGGTAAAGTCAGGTTAAATATTAAATTTAATATATCTGGAATGGAAATGAAATGCTAATATATTACTACATGTAATTGAATATTCTCCAATCATGTATTTTTATTCTTTTGCTACATTAAAAACTATAGTTTGGATTGGTGAGGGATGTACTTAATTTTTTTAAGGGATGGGGCAAATGCAGGCATTTAAAATTATATACACTATATAGAAGCCAAATCATTACATACAACTGAGCATAGTTTAATACATTCTGGGTTATACCAAAGGTGCTTTTCAAAAGGCAACTGGTCTTTGTTATTTGTGTGAAGACCAAGAAGTTTGCTTGATGATCCAATAAGCATTTTTTAAGTTCAACTGAAGAAGCTTCTTGGATGGAAAGTGAAATGTCTTCAAGCGAAGAAACAGTTGCCTCTTGAAAAAAGCACCTTTGGGACCACCATGACCTGGATGACAGAATCTCCATATACATTCTGAGTTATACATTTTTTATGAATAAATTTCACAAAATTGTAAGTGTATGAATTTACACTCTGAACCTTCATTTAATGGCATTAGTATCAATTGTTTCCTCTTGTTTAGAATGTATTGGTTGTTCTGTTTCACTAGTTGAAAAAAAATAATTTGCTTTTGGAAGAAGAATGATGTTGAAACGTGGTAAATTGGTGAAACCTAAAACAAGTGAACCAATTCTGGTCCATTGGAAGTGGTGCCTCTGATATATCCAAACAGGGGCAAGTGGGAACCTTCTGCAGGACATGCCTAAACTTTGGAAGAGGATCTTTGTATAGGCTCAATAAAAATTGTAAATTGCTCTTTTCAAAGGTTTTGCACAACCTTAATAGAAATAATTTTGCTTTCATACTGTTGCTCTTGTGAAGACTTGTTAAGAAAAATGTCTGATGTTCAGAAATCCTCAGCCCAAGTACTTATCTATTTTGTACTTCTTGAATGGAGGTGCTCATTTAATATGAAAAAGCAGATTGGAAAATGGGATGTTTGTTTATTTAATTTTATTTCTGAATGACATTACAAGCAAGCATTGTAACTTGCAGAATAGTAAAGGCAGAATGTCACCTGGGGCTAAAAAGGACCCTTGAACATAAACTTGGGGAACCTGTGCAAACATTACAGAGAATACTATGTTATATAGATGAATGATCTATTGTAAATCAATTCCCTTTTAACTTTAAGAATATGAGAGGCTAGTTGGATACTCCTTTAATCAAACTTTCATTACTACTGCCAAAATCATGGATATAATACATGGACAAGATTATAACAGGACATGGCTAATGTTGTACATGGTGTCTAAATATGGTTTTCTTAAATACAATTTAGTGAATTAACTGCAATTAATTGGCTTCATAACTAAAATGTATGTGATCAGTGTAAGATAATGATTATATTTGTTATCTGTATTCTGTGATTAACTTTGGTTTACTGAATTCTGTCTGTTTCTGAATTGCCAACAGAAACTGGACTTGCACAATACACTGGGCTAAAATGACTAGATAAACAAGATATTTTGAACAGATTGACAGAAATATGATTTAAATCAGTCAACATGACAAATTGTTTTTTCCAATTTACTATATTATGTGAAACCAGTGTAGTGGTATGAAAACCACTTGAGGTTTATATGACATGAGGCTTATATAACATAGTATTAAGCCAACCAATTGTGCCTTGATTGATGAACTATGGATAACACAATATGTGAATCCAGTATATATAAATACACCCACAAAAATTTACACTTCTGAGCTTGTTTTTTATTACTTCAAAAGTTAGGAATTTAATTTTTTATGCTTGTAATTGCAAAGGAGGGATAAAGCAATCTATGAAATCTTAGACAGCTTGCTTTCTCACTTGCATGGAATTCTAGTTGCTCTTGGCTATTAGGCAAGTTACAAGCCTGTATCTACATGCTAACATTGAAGAAAGAGTAACACAGCAATTGTTTGTCATCTTGCTTAGTCACCTTCCTGGAATTGTGGTTGGCTAGAAAAGTGGATAAGCACAAACCTCATCCAAGTGATTTAATAACTCAAGTTTTTTGGTCTATATCTTGACATTATCTGTCTTCTTATTGATACACACTTATCATTTGGAAGAGAAGGAAAGTGCAGTTCAAAGAAAATCTTTAGCCCCAGTTATGAATACATCCCTACTTCATTGCAAAAAATGTGAAAGAGCTGTATAATTTATCAAGTAAGTATTCTGTTGGTAGTGATTTTCCTGGTTGGTTTTCATGAACGGAAATGTATAGACTTTATGCTTCCCATGTAAGTGTTTTTATGACTTGCTATAAAAACGTCTGTAAGTCAAAGTCAAACATCAAACCCACATGTTCATATTATATATACATATTATAAATACTACTAATGTGGTGCAGTGGTTAGAATGCAGTACTGCAGGCTGACTCTGCCCACTGCCAGGAGTTTAATCCAGACCGGCTCGAGTTTGGCTCAGCCTTCCATTCTTCTGAGGTTGGTAAAATGAAGACCATATACTGACATTTGTAAACTGCTCAGAGAGTGCTGTAGGAGCACTATGAAGTGGTATACAAGACTAACTGCTATTGAAGTTATTTCCTGTGGTGCAGTAGCACCTCTGTTTAATATTTGTTTTTAGAAAGGGAAATCAGTTCAGGTGTGTCTGCCACCACACCCTCCTCCTTAAAAAACAAATAAAGTCATAAATGCCAAGGATGAAGAAATAGTGAATAAATTCCATGATGACTCATAGCATTTTCCATTTGATTGGGCTACTATGCAGCTACACTGATTTGAGAGAAATATTATCCGAAAGACAGATTGTGGTTTTAATCTGCTTCCCCTTAGTCTGAAAATGTTTGTGTGTCGTTTCTGGAGACAGAGAGCTAATGTGGATGCCAACAACCTCATTGATATATGAGAATCCAAGAGGCATCGTGGGTAAAGTAAGCCAGGCTACACCTAACATTATGGGTATGGATATCCATTTGTACAACAGGACTAAAAAAAGGGCTTCCTTCCTACTTGCATGACCCAGGTATCTTCTTAATTCACCTGGAACACATTTGTGTATACTTGGGATAATACAGAGAGGAAGAGGAACTTGTTCTGCTAACTGACAACAGTGGTTACAATTTGTAATTGCTTGCTCTTCCTTGCTGTGTATGAAGGAATAAATTAATATTTCTGATGCTGTGCCACTTGCACAGTTATGTTGTGGATAAGGAACATTTTATTTTACGCTGCTTCTGGTGTAATGACTTAGAGTGACCTTCAAATATCAAAAATTATTAAGGCAACAATATTGCAGTACTTAAAAATGAATAGAAAAGAAAGAACATTCATCCATAGCATTCCCACAAGGAAGGCCTGGGTGGAAAGGTGAGTCTTCAATAAACGCATGGTGGATAGTCCTTGACTTATAACAGTTTGTTTAGTGACCATTCAAAGTTACAATGGCACTTAAAAATGACTTATGAAGTATTCCACACTTACAACCATTGCAGTATTGCCATGGTCACATGATCAAAATTCAAACACTTAGCGACTGGTTCACATTTATGATGGTTGCAATGTCCTGGAGTCATGTGATTACCTGTTGTGATCTTTGGACAAGCAGAGTCAATGGGAAAGTCCGATTTACTTAACAACTGTGTCACTGACTTAACAACTGCAGTGATTCACTTAATTGTGGCAAGTAAGGTCGTAAAATGGGGCAAAATTCACTTAACAAATGACTTACTTAGCAACAGAAATTTTGGGCTCAATTGGTCATAAGGCAAGGACTACCTGTATAGTAAGTTCTCGTGGATTTCAGGGGAAAGAGCATTCCAGACAGCAGGTAACATCCTAGAGAGGTTCCCTATCAGTAACATAAGTGAACATTGCCAATCACAGCACATACAATAAGACCTCTTTTCATAAGCTTTTTGATCACCCAGTTCTGCAATGGACAAAAAATCTGGAATTTAGACTACTGCAAATGGTTTTATACTTACAGGCCCAAAGAAAAACTATGAACCTGGGTTGGGAATTAATTGACCACTTATGCAGTTGCTTTAACACTAGCAGTAACATCTAATGTAACCGATCCCCTTCTCAGCAAACAAGTAATTGCATTCTTCATCAATTGCAGGTTCAAAACAAAATATATCATTCTACTGTAATCTCAATGTATGGTTACTGGTGTACACCAGCCAAAGCTAGTAATAGGCAGCAGACAGACTAAAGGTAGACATTGTTTTATGATGCAATATTGAGTTCACTGTCCATTGTTGCCTCTGGATGATGCTATTTATCAGCAGCTTACTGCTGCTGCTTATATGACTTTACCTCAAAGCAAATTAATTTTGCTTAGCATCTATTAGACCTATGGACAGAAAGAAGAACTCTTCAGACATTTGGTGACAAAGATTGGAAGCATAGTTATATGATTATTATGATCTTCCCTCTATCACACTTGTTCCGGCCTCCAGTTCCTATGGATACTAAGCCTGAGAGTGCCAGGAAAGGGAATGAGGTATGCATCTGGGAGAGAAGGAAGAGGTGGGTGTGAACTCCCATTGAACAAGCCTGTGCAGGATTTACATTCCGTGCCTGCCGATCCAATTTGCACACCATCTGCCAAAGCACAATTCCCTTTCTTAACCTATTTAATTCTCATGCATA